AGACAAGAAAAGAAAAATCCAAAAATGGCATGAATAGAACAATTTCATTTACAATAACATCAAAATGAATCAAATCTTAAAAATAAATTTAACAAAGAAATGCAACACTTGTACATTAAAAGTATAAAACATGGTTGAAAAAAATTAAGGAAGTCTCAAATAAATGGAAAAGACATTCGGTGAATGTGTATTGCAAGACTCATTATTACTAATATAGAGATATTTTCCAAATTAATCTCCAGATTCAATGCAATCTCCATCAAAATCCCAGTTGCCTTTTTTTGCAGAAATTGGCAAGCTGATACTAAATTTCATATTGAAATGCAAAGGTCTTGACAGAGCCAAAACAATCTTGAAATAGAAAAAAAAAAGCTAGAGATATACTTACTTCCTAATTTCGACATTACTAAAACCTACAACAATAGAGAGAGGTACCAGAACAAGAATAGATATAGATCAATGGAATAGATTTAACAGTCCAGAAACAATTTCTCACATTTTTGTTCAAATGATTTTAAGAAAGAGTGCCAAGACATTTTAATGCGGAAAAAGTAGTCTTTTCAAGAAATGGTCCTGGAACAACTGGAAATCTACATGCAAAAAAAAATTTGGACCATTACCTCATGCCGTACACAAAAATTAATTAACTTAAAAGGGATTTTACAAAAATATGAGATAAAACTATAAAACTGTTAGAAGAAAATATAAGAATAAATCTTTGAAACCTTGGGTTAGGCAACAGTTTCTTAGTTATGACACCAAATGCAGAAGTGACAAAAGAAAACATAGATTAATTGATCTTCATCAAAATTAAAATTGTACTTCAAAGGGCACCTTAAAGAAAGTCAAAACATAATCCACAGAATGGGAGGAAATATTTACAAATTGCATCTGATAAGCATATATGGATATCTGGATAACTTGCATCCAAAATATATAAAAATTCTTACAAATCAATAATAAAAAGACAACCCAATTCCCAGTTGTGCAAAAGTTCAAAGAAATATTTCTCCAAAGAATATGTGCACATAGCCACAAAGCATATCTTAAAATGACACTTTGTAAGATGGTTAACATCATTAGTCCTTAAGGAAATGCAAATCAAATGCACATTGAGATACCACTTTATACCCACTAGGACACCTAAAATAAAAAGACAGCCATCAATAAGTATTGACAAGGGTGTGGAGAAATTGACATTTTCCTACATTGCTGGTGGGACTATAAAATAGTGCATCCACTCTGGGAAAGGGTTTGAAAGTTCCCCTGGAAGTTAAACATAGAGTTACCATATGACCAGCAACTCCACTACTAGTTATATATACAAAAGAATTAGAAATATTGTCAATACGCATCCTTGTGCAGGAACATTTACAGCAGCATTATTCGTAATAGTAAAAAAATAGAAGTAACTTAAATTTCCACCAAGTGAATAGATAAACAAATGTTTTATAATCATACAATATAATATCATTTGGCCATATAAAAGAATAAAGCATTGATAGCTGGTGCAACATAAACCTTGAAAACATATAGTAAGTGTGATAAGCCAAGCACAAAAGACTACATACTGCGTGATTCTATTTATATGAAATGTCCAGAACAGGCAAATCCATAGAGGCAGAAAAGGAACAGGGATCGGGAGGGACTGCTACCAGGTATGGGTTTCTCTTGGAGCGATGAAAATATCTAAAATAAGATAACGGTAATGGTTTCATTTCTCTGTGAATGTATTAAAAACTCTTGAATTGTACTCTTTAAAAGAGGGAATTGTACAGTAAACAAATTATGTCTCAATAAAGTTATTATAAGAAGATAATTTGGTAACGAAATTCCTAAGTAGTGCGTCATCATGTTTATATATAACTCATGTGACGTATGAACTATGCTCACCTCATTGACAGTGTATTTAACGAATTCTCTCCTCTCCTTACAATCTAGTAAAGCCAATGCTAATATAACATTTATATTAATGTATTATCTTTAAAATCAGAAAGATGAAACACAATCAGAAAGCCTACTTCAGTTGGACTTCTATTTTTATATCTAGAAAAACATATGACAGTATCTTTTGAAATAAAATCAGTAATCTACCAGAAATCTGAGGAACGATAAAATGACAGAGTTTGTGTTCATTTAAGTGGCAAAGTCTTCTGACACATTTATAAATTTAAGTCATTATGTGTTCACAATTAGTGGTTTCAGAGTTATCTAGGAATACTGATTATGTCTTATGAATGTTAAAATAAAGTGTATTTTAATTAAGCCTGATACTTTGTTGCTTGTTTTGTTTTAGATCTTTAAGATCTCTGTATAAAAGAGCAATATCTTTATCTAAATCAAAGTACTATCATGTTGGATAATAAATCACCATTTGAGTCCTCTTGCTCTGCCTGATTATATATCATAAGAATAACATATTTTGGACTAATAGGTGGATAAACATAAGTGATATATTTCACATACACACACATATTTTTTTCTCCATACATATGACTGAGACTGCATCTGGGCAAAGAGAAAGCAGCCAACATCCAGGATAGCCAGGAGCTGGCCAGGTACTACAAGCTAGGTTTAAGTTAGATCTTGGGGTTCTCCTGCTGAACATTTAACAATTTCACAGAACATCAAAATGAGGCAAGGCTACTCTGTGACCCTGATGAATTGAAACAAAAACAAACTGACTCCAGAATCGTATCCTAATACAGACAAAAATGTGAACATTATCTAAGCCATGAGAATAGCCAACATTTCCCTCTCATGGCTAGTATGAGTAAGTGCTGCATCTTTAAAAGTTTGGCTCTCACCTCTGTCTAATCTTCCACCCTTCAAGGTAAGATTTATGACGAACCCAATCATAGAAGTCTTTCCACTTCCTGAAAATATCCTATCCAGGCCAAAGCCTCACTTTCTTAAACCCTCACCAAAAGTGTGTCACAAGCTCCAACCTCTCAGTTGTTTCCGGCACTCTTTCACTGAGGTGCCCCGTGGATTCACACGGTGCCTGTTCTCACTCTCGGAATGAGTTAGAAACCCAACTTGTTCAACAAGTGTGCTCTTGCTCATGTTTGTCTGGAGCCAACTGACAGTGTGAGTACACACATATGCAAATGCATAAACAATTTATCTTTAGGGATTAAAGAAAGAGTTGAATGTTAAAAAGCATATATCAGAGTCTCTGAAAAAGACTGAAAAAGACTATCATATATTATAGGTTATAACTAATAGAGTTATTTAGGGAAAACAAAACAAACATAGAAAACTACAAAGAACTTTTTCCTAGCCCAGCAAAAGTTGATTGTTTCTCTCACTACAGAGATAGAGAGGCAGTTAATGTTAATTTTTGGTGATATACCAATTTTAATAATTGATAATGTCACAAAAAATAGCTCTGGGTTTTCACATTTTTGCATATTTTAAACAAATGTGAACTATTGGCATTGCAAGTTTTTCTATATTACCAAGATTATGCATTTTTAATTATTGTCATTGACAAATCAATCCAACTATTGCAAGCTATTTCAGAATTTTCTTTTAATGAAATAACCTGCCTACTATTGACCAGTCTGGGTCTTGTATCCCATTTTAATCATGAAAGTGAGGAACATTTGTAAAAATCCTTACATGTTTGAGATGATCCAGAATTCTCAATGGTAATCACAAGACAAAAGAAAGTGTGTGAGTTATTTTGGAGGACAGCCTGAAATCATTTTGATTTATCCTTAGAAAAATAATCATCTATTTGTGTTCATTTAATCTTTTTCTGTGACAAGAAGAAAGGCATTCTAGTTACAATACCCCTGTTTTTCATCTACTTGAAGGACTTAGGGTATATGGAACAAGTCCAAGAATAAAAGCTACTCACCAATACCTATCTGGTTATGAAAATTTTGAAATAATAGCAATAGCTACTCAGTTTCTATTTAGAGTCTTTATGGACCTCTCATCTAAAAACTAATTAATATGATTAGATTGTGAAAGATGTGGATAATTAATGCTGTAAAATGTACCAATAATTTAACTAAAATAATCCACATTCTTGATAATCTCTAGGTAATAAACTGAAAGTATTAATGCAATGGAGTTATAAGGACTCCATAAAATGGAGTTTTAATGCTCTAAGGAGTCATATTGTGGCACTTATTTTGCGTGGAATGGTCCAAACAACACTGAGATGGCAAATGTATATTTTGAAGAAGTAAATGCATTTGTAACATGTTCCACATCTGAAAATTGCATTTCCAAGTTAAAATTCGTTTATTCCTTTTTTTTTTTTTTCTGAGAAGCTAACATCTGTGCCAGTCTTCCTCTGTTTTGTATGTGAGTTGCCACCACAGTATGGCTGCCAACGAGTAGCATAGGTCTGTGCCCCAGAACTGAACCCAGGCCGCCAAAGCAGAATGCACCAAATTTAACCATTAGGCTATGGGGCTGGCCCCTGTTTATTCCGTTTTTTTAATTGAAATACGTTCGACACACAACATTGAGTAAATTCAAGGTGAACAACATGTTTATTGGATACATTTATAGATTGCAACATGACTGCCACTGTAGCAAGAGTTAGCATCTCTATTAGGTCACATAATAATTTCTTTTTTGTGGTGGGAATAATTAAGATCTAGTCTCTTAGCAAGTTTGATGATTATAATACAATATTGCCTATTATCACTGCTACGCATTAGCTCTCAGGACTTATTTATCTACTAGTTGCATGTTTGTACCCTTAAACCACATCTCTCTTATTCCCCTACCCCCAGCCCCTGACACCCACCATTTTACTCTATTTTAACGTGTTTATTTCTGTTTTGACTGGGCATCTGGACTTTGGTATTTGCAAATTTCAAATGAACGTGACACCACCTTGTCAGAAAATGGTTCTTCATTTTGGCATAGTTGTTTTAATTAAATGGACGTAAAGTGAAAATGATGTCTGGGTGCATCCCAAGGACCTTGAGCACTCCAAGTAATTTCATGAAGAAAACGATAAATATATTACTCACCGGTAGCTGTTGTAAAGGTCAGTACAGGTGGAATTGTTCTTACAAGGATTCGTTTTGCAGTCATTGGATTCTTCATAAAAATTTCCTTTCCAACTAGACAGGTACACACACTGGTAACTCTGAGGGAATATGAAAATTACACAACCTTTAGGTTATTTCTTACTATTAAGCCTAAAATCCAGATATTACTCCTGGCTATTTTGGTCTTTCAGTCAATTTATGCTTTTTTCAATTTTTATAGAATGTGAATACTTCCCCAAAATCACTTTTGTCACAGTTTAAAAACTGAGTGAACAGAATTCGTTAGCATCTAATCCAATAAAAATTTGCAGCATATTGATAAAATCTACATAAGATATCAAAATATTTGTGTACTATGCTCACGGTACAGAACTATTGGATTTGTTAAATATCTTAATATGAAAATAATATACTAGTAATATGATGGTTAGTGATTGTATAAAGCTAAATAACTCAATATGCAACTCAGAAACTAGCTCACAATTTAAAAAATATAACTACAACAAAGAAAACCCTCCTGATTGCTTTGTGGTATAACTTACAAATGATTAACCTATGTAAATTCAGCACTCTTAGTCAATTAAAATTGTAAAACTCTGCACATTTTTTCCTAAAGTATAAAGTTAGCCTATAACAATATAAATTTTACTTTCCTAGGATTGAGCAAACAAACAAAAATATACCTCAAATTACTGCGGGGCAATAATTTGTATGTTAAAAATATTTTTGAAGAATAGGACTCATCAAAAATATAGAATTTGGGCTCTTACATTTAAAGATTCTGGATTTAGCATTATGAAAAATACTAAAATCACTGTTAGCTGTTATCTTGATCTTCACTGTTCGATACAGCAGCCACTAGCCACATGTGGCCACAGAATCTTGAAATGTGGCTGATCCCAGCTGAGATTGATGGAAGTATAGAATACACAGTGGATTTTGAAGATTTAGTATGAAGAAAAGAATGTAAAGCATCTTACTAATAATTTTATTACTTACATGTTGTAATGGTAATAATTCAGATATGAAGTGTTAAACAAAATATATTATTGAAATTAATTTTACCTGTTTCCTTTCATTCTTTTTTAATGTGGCTGCTATTTAATGTAGAAAATTTAAATCATACACATAGGTCTCATTACATTTCTACTGAATAGAACTGTGCTAGGTGATGCCAACCTGGTTTCTCCACTTGTGAATAGAGTTAAGAAGTCTATGTGGTTATATGCGTAGACATGAGGAGCAGGAGTTCCCTGAGATTAGAGGACATTCTAGTTTAATACATCCCAGCACCCTGAGGAGGCCTGGTACCCAGTAGATGCTTAATACATGTTGGTTGAACAAATGAAAAAGAATAAACATTATAGGAAAACTAATGTAAAAGCTGAATTTAGCACCCAAAACAGATTTCAAAATAATTCTATATGTTGGCTAGAGGTGGATACCAAATTTGTTTCAAACATTATAGTCAAACAACATATTAGCCAGAGAAACAAATAAATTTATGCTCCTTGTATGTGCATTTAGGTTACAACAATTCAAATGTATGAGAAGTGCCACTGAGTAATTCTGCTTTGGTTTAATAGGGCTGCTTGGTTTGCTGTGTCTCGTGAACAACTGAAAAGCAAAGGGATGAGAGCCGCCATGTTGTCCACAATGGGCTTTATTCCTGCCATGTGTTAATCCTCCACTCAGAGTGCTCATTAATGGTACTCATGGTTTGCTGGGTTATAGCAGCAATTTTCTCACGCATTGTTCCGCCTACATTGTTAACTTCCTCAACGAGTGTGGTAACATCCCAGGTTTCATTGATTGTTTTTTGCTTATTGTTTTTCCTTTTCTTTTTTGTAAGCATTAAAAGAGGACTTAAAAGAAAATCGAATGTAATGGTTACATTTTGTTTTATGAATATGCTATTTAAAATAGCAGCAATTCTACCTAAGCAAGTCAAGTGTCTGTTGTAGTGAATGGAGAAAAATACCCAATTCAGGGATGGACACCAGGGCAGAGTAGAATGGATAGGCATGAAATCTGTGGGAAAAGTTGAGGTGCCCTTTAGTTATGTTCCGACAATTCACTTTCTAAGAGGTTTGAGTCATTTCTGTAAAGACAAGAGCTTAAGTTTACTGCTGGTTTTTATTTTGACATCTCAGTAATAATTTGAAAACAATTTAGTGAGTGAGTCAAAAGGCCAATCAAATTTCTTTCCCATTAAAATCATATATTCCTTAAAAGCTAATAACTATGGGTGTTCTTGATGATTTAATAATTACTAGAAAATTATCATGAATTTAATGGTATAACTGTCATTACAGTGTCAGGTACCACAGCAGTGATCTCTAGATGTGATGGAATACGTTTAAAAAGGAAACACAAAAGGATGAAGGAAATAGCTTTTATTCTAACATTAAACATTAAAACCATAAATGTTGACAAGAACAGAAATGAATATCAACTAGAAATAACCCAGAGTTCAGGTATTTCTATTCATGTGTTGCCTGCTTGGTTCAGAAGCATTTCTCTGAATTTAGGTATTCTTAGTGCAAAGCACTTTCCCATTCAACACTGTAAAGTTAATTAATTCCAGTAATTTAAAATAATAGTTAAAGGTAAAATACTATTTTTAAACCACATTACCTCCGCATTAAATAATTAAGTAATAATATTTTGAGCTAGTTTGCCAAGAGGGAAAAATGTATTTAAAATATCTTTACTAAAATGAGTAAATTTTGCATGATGTATGAGGTTGGGGCTACATCATTTTTACCCCTTAATGCAAAGTAGACATTGCTCTTCCTGCCAAATTTAGATTAAACACTTTCCATAGTTTGAAAATATACAGGTAAGAAGGAGACAGGGAAGACAGAAGATGCTAGAAAGTGATACAGACCAAGCACAGCGAACTGCACGGCCAGTGAGACAACAGAGCAGTCAGGTTTGATCAGTGTAGGAGGGTGAACTATTAGATAGCGTTCAGTCTATCAGGTCAACGGCCACATGGTTTAAATCTGTGCTCAGCGGCAGATACAACAAAATAAGAAGGATAGCGTAATTCTGAATTGAATTGCGAACTCTGAGAGATGAAATTGCAACACCAGCTTTGTTGCTTGTTAGATTTCTAGACATGCTTAGTATCTTAATTTTCCGTTGGTATGTAACAAATTACCACACATTTAGCAGCTTTAAACAACATAAATTTACTATCTCACAGTTTCTGTGGTTCAGTGTCCAGGTATGGATCATTCAAATCCTTTGCTAAGAGTCTCACCAGGCTGAAGCCAATGTATTGACTGGGGTGGGATCTCCTCTGAGGCTTGGGGTCCTTTTCCAAACTCAGCGGTTCTCAGCAAAATCCATCTCATCGTGGCTATAAGGCCTAAGCCTCTATTTCCTCGCTAGCTGTCAGGCAAGGGTGACTTACAGCCTCCAGAGACTGTTTTTAGGTCCTCGCCAGATGCTCTCCTCTTCTTATAGCATGGCAGTTTGCTTCTTCAAGGCTAACAGGAGAGCATCTCCTGCTGCCACTTGGCTTTTTTAAGGGACCATCTAATTAAGTCAGGCCCATCCAGGATAATATTATATTGGATAAATCAGTCAACTGATTAGGGACCTTAGTTCCATCAGTAAAATCCCTTTTTCAATATAATGTATCATAACCATGGGAGCAATATCCCATCACACTCAGTGGTCTTACTCCTGTTCAAGGGGAGGGGATTTTACAGGGCATATACAGTAGGAGGTGGGAATCTTCAGACTATCTTATAACTCTGCCCACCACATCCACTAACCTACTTAATTTATCCAAGTAATCTATTTAAGTTCTCTAAGCCTCAGATGCCTTCATATGTAAAGTATCAATAATAACTACTTCATAAGCTTATTTTGAGCACTGCACGCAGTAATGACCATAACATGCTTAGCCTAGTGAAAAATAATTACCTCTAGGCAATAGCAGCCATTAGCTCTAGGCATACCGGCCTAGATCTGACAAGGTCAAGGTGTAATGCAGAAAGTACTACATGAGCATGAGTACTACATGAAACTGGATGAGAATTATCCAGCTCTAGATTATTTCTTTTTAAGAACAATTTAAGCTACACATTGAAAGATAAAGATTATCAGACTAGGAAAACAGAAGAAAGATGGGGAGTAAGAAAATCTAGTAACACATCAATTACAAGATAGAAACTTAGATGAAGTAGACAAATTTCACAAAATACAAATTAGAAAAATTGATCAAGAAGAAATAGAAAATCTTATTAAACAGGTAGGCGTTTTAAAATGGGCCAAAAGAGGTAGACTGATGGTAGGCTCACTTAACCCTAATTCTGCTTTCCATATTGACTGAATTTGCAAACTGGAGATACAGTCTACTACGCAGAGCTTTAGTCCCAGGACATATATAACACCTAAGAACGCAAAAAATTATAATCTTCTGAGAGGCTATCACAGACATAAAGAATATGCCAGCATATGAATGCAATGCTGCTGTAAACAATTTAGATGTTTGGACAATTACTTTCTGGCCTGAAAAGCAGATGACAATGACAATGCAAGCACACCATGGACTAAATCACTTCTTTTCCCCATCAGGCTTTTTCTGCAACATTTCAGAGAAGGATAATATATAGTTCCTTGTCTCGTACTCAGTTTTCTAGCACATTCGATTCTCCTCTAGAATACCACTACTTGTGCACTATTGAGCAACTCACCTAAGTGGTCAAAACTGGTCTTAATTTTTAAATCAATAAATTTGGACTAGGTGATTTCTACTAACTCTTTCAATATTAAGAGGATCACATTTTTTTATTGCTTTATTTATAGTTCCTAGAAGAGCCAGGTGCTAACAAGGACAATCTCTATTGTGCCAAGCATTCCCACCAGCTGTCTAAGGCCTTCCTGGTGATTCGTTAATTCCTGCTTAACAAAGTTGTGTTCTGAAATGACAGCTGGGAACATGGGAAGTGGTTTACAACTTACAGTTTTCTTAGAAGAGCCACTGGAAAAGTTTGTCTTTGTTTCCAGTCCCTTACACCAGTGCATGAGGCAAGATGTGTTTTTAAAAACACACAGAGAGCAATGTCTTATTATGCCATAATAATATTTATTCAACAAAGCACATAAGAGAAATTAGTCTTGATGTGTTTCAATTGAACAGAATCAGTAGCCATTGTCATATAAAGAAAGGAAGCAGGTTCCCCAATGGCTAAATTTTGACTTGCAGTTTGAAGTTTACAAAGAGTTTTCCATATGTTTTCTTTGTGTCTTGTTACTATAAATATTTGTAATGAGAGGAAATTTCTAAGAATTAACAATCAAAGTAATTTGTGAGTGTGTGGTATATAGAATCCCTACTACTTTATAGTCATATATCATAGAGTCATTTTCTTGCAAAATAATGTAAAATTTTCAGCAATCATCTTCAAATTTTAAGACAAAAACAATTTTGGAAGAATTTTTCCCAGTACCTTCTTAAATTACTGTCCATGATTTCTTCACTGATGGACATTGCATGTAACCTAACAGAGATTTTCGTGCACCTTTGTCTTTTCCAATATACCTCCCAAAATATTTAAATGTTTGTTTTTAATTCTTTTCTGCTGTCAGGAAAGCCAAATTGTGACTCAACTTACATCTACAAATCCAAATCTGCCTCTCAAAATCTTAGATGTCACAAAATAAATCTACGCCTTCTCACATTTGGCATTTCTCAACTATTAATTCAGGATGTAATCTTTTAGAGTTATGTTTCTCAAAGGAATATTTTGTTGTTGGTCAATGGTGTTGTATGCAATCACTGTTGTAAATTATTAATTATTCAAAGAAATTTTGGCATAAGTGAGAGAAGTCCTGTTGTGATCATCTGACACAAGTGAGCGGGAATCCATTACTCTCTCCCATACCTGCCGATTCATATATATATATATATGAAATTTCTGTTTAAAATACTTAAAAGGTACATGGGAGCTATCTTGTGCACCCCTGAGGCAACTACAAGGTAGGAACGGTACCAAAAAAATTCATGCCTCTTCATTACAGTGGTAGAAGTCCAAAAGGAATTTATGAGACATTTTCACACATTCTATTCGTTTCATTACATCATTGAACCTCTCCCCACACTAGTCCACCCATACCACTTAGTGTTCAGTGGGCTTGAGTTATCACCCAAATTCTGTTATCTGCCCACATGCCATTATGCAAATTGCTTAACCTATCTTCTCGTTTATAAAACTTGTAAGAACAGGATTATTTGCTGGATGGATTTTTCAAAGGGCTTTTCTGTAAACTTATATATTCAGATTCATTACAGCTTAGGTGGCATTATAATTATTGTGTTGTTCCATCGCTCACTGAGCACTGTAAAACCATTAACCCAGAATGCCTTGTCTTCACCTCCAGTGAAGTATGACCACAAGCCAAAAGTGTAACCACAACTTAGCTCTTATTTCCCCTAAGACATTTTCAACCTCCAAAACCTCACATCATGACATCTCGTCCTTTGGCAGCATCTCTGATACTCTCATCTCTCTCAACCCTTCATTTCTGGTCAACTTGCTCTTCTACTTTTAATAAGACTTCTCATCAGCACCCCTGCTCTCCACATGTCTCTGACCAAACCATTAGTTCTCCGGCTTCATTCCCAGCCTAAACGCCAGCATATGGTGTTTCCAAGATGGAATATCTATCCCACTGGGTATGTGAGTAGTAATGTTTATTTTAATGTTTATTTCTTTATCGTTACCCTAAATTGTATTAGGGAAATAGAACAAGCACAGCAAATCCTGAATACATTACTTAAGAAAAAATTTATTGTAATAAATCAACTGATTTAAGTGGTAAATAAACTTGTGGCAAAACCACAAATTTCTCTAATCTTAATTAGCTGAATGAGGCTGAAAAATTATGTGCCCTTGGCCCTCCCATCACACACGTCTCTGTGGTGCCGTGTTACCATGCCCGGGTCTGTTTGAACAGTGTTGCTTAATAGTTTAAATACTCAGAACTGTGTGATATGCACAGGAGAGTGTGTGAGTGTGTGTGTGTGTGTGTGTGTGTGTGTGTGTATTATTCTGTGTTTACTCCACAACGGTTTTCCTTTAGCAGAAACTCTTTCGCTAGGTGCGGTAAGTTGGTATTCTGATCAGACAGCCTACATTCTAGGGGCTGGTCCTGTGGCCAAGTGGTTAAACTCTCGCCCTCCACTTCAGAGGCCTGGGGTTCACCCATACCAATCCTGGGCATTGACCTACACGCCGTTCATCAAGCCATACTGTGGTGGCATCCCACACAAAAGAACTAGAATGACTTGCAACTAGGATACACAACTATATACTGGGGCTTTGGGGAGAAAAAAAAGGAGGAAGATTGGCAACAGATGTTAGCTCAGGGCCAATCTTCCTCACCAAAAAGCATACTTAAAAAAGGGAAAGAAAGCCTACATTCCAAAGATGGTTACCACACATCCTTGAGTTATCTTTATCTCTGACCAAAACCAGGCACTTTTCTAGTTAGTATGATGTAAGTTAAAAATAGGAATCCATTAGTGAAATTACTGTTCAAGCTACATGGGCTGATTAAATATTTTAGAAACATCCCTTACTCCTTCATGACCAGGGTGTAGTGAGCCCTAGAGTCTGCGGCCATAGAAATGACAGTTCTGGTGGAATGAATTATCCTGTGCCCCTTTCCTCGTTCAGAGGTTTTTCATTTACCTGACTGAAAGATGCTGAAAATGAATCCAATGGCTAGAATATTGTCACTGGTGCCTAAGGGAAATTCTAATGCAAGTAACTTCTGAGACCACCAAAGGACAGAGAATGGGGAATCGTTAAGGTAATAATGCCAGAACAATAGCATAATCCAGCCCAGCTTGTTTTTTATTATAACCCAGTAGTGAAGTGGTAAAGAAGGAGGTAACTCACATCTATTTCTAAGTATCTGTAGCTATGGGAACCTATCAAGAGGAAAAGAGAAATTGGTATATTTAAGCAGATTTCAGGTCACTTTCCACATGTTTAGAGTACTATTGCTGTTCACTCTTGTCAGATGATGGCAACAGGATTTTTCTCTTTTATACCAAAATTTCCTCAAATAATTAATAATTTACAACAAATATACAAAACACCAGTGACTAAGAGCAAAATATTCCTCTATTCATTTTAAGTTGTATCATATTACACAATATTATATTAATTATACTCATTTCATATTAGTTAAAATATGCATGAATGCACTGCCTATTTTTAGGCAAAAAAGGCTAATACTTTCTGTTAAAAAACTTAGGAAGTAACGGTTATTAAATGGATTTCATAAAGCCTGACATCTAGTAACTTCTCAATAAATCATTATATTTTATAATTATCACTATTAATACAGATTCTTAATAAATAGATACTTTCAAAAAAATTTGAAGGTTACATATAAATCATTTGTAGTTTAAAATTAAAAAATAGTCTAATGTTCTTTAGTGAGTTTTTAAAATAAGACAATAATAACACGTATTCATGTAAATTGTAAATGCATTTTTATTTCTACCATTTAATTTGGAGATAATTACTGTCTCTAATATCTCTGACTTCTTTTCCCTGAAAGAAATTAATCTATTTTTTTAATAATTAAATGTTTACACAGTATTATTTATTCATTAAAAACACTCAACTTTTTCAATTGATTTCATTGAATTGTTAAATATTTTACAGCTTTGTGTTATTAATACATTTTGTCAATTTCAAATGTCATGTTAAATTGTAATAAATATATTTACTTTTGTTTCCTTTCTACTGAGATTATTCAAATGTGATAATTTTTATTCGACATATGTTGATAAAGTATTTTATATTTGGTAAGGTAAAAGTTTGTGAAATTTCCTATCCCAGTTGCCAGCACTATAAAACAATTTACCACAACGTGAGCTTTATCCTTTGCTCTTGAATGATGCAAAGAAATACAAAATTATCCTTTTTCCCTAAGAA